CAAGGAGACCCTGAGGACTGACGGTGGCCAGACCTACTCTGTGAGTCCTAGGCGGCTGCAAAGCCTGCCTGGAGCCACCTGCAGTGTCTGAATCTTCCTTCCAGGACACAGGTCACAGCTGTGGGCCACAGCCCCGCCCCCAGCCAGGCCCATGGAGGGCAGGACACAGACAGCGCAGCTGGCACCTGTGCTGGGGCCAGAGCAGCATCCCAGGATGGCGAACGGGACCTTCTGATCTTGGGGAACACACATGCCTCGGGACTCCCCCACTCCAGGCTCCTGAGGCCCCACGTGTTGGTGAGGCTGAAACCGCCTGCTCAGTGTCTCCTCTTCTCATCCTTGGCTAGGACAACAGTGGCCCGGCTGGATCAAGCCCATGAGCTGTTTTCTTTGGCCCTAACAGTGTTTTCTTTTTTTAAAAAAAAAAAAAATTGTTTTTGGAACTAACATTTACCAGTTTAGAGATTTCCTGTATTTGCTCTTAGAAATGCGGGACCACGCCACTCCTGCCTTCCTGCCTGGGCCTGACAGAGTGAGTGATAGCACATGCTGGTGACAGGTGCTCCTGTCTATGGCCCTGAGCTGGCATCTGGCCAGCAGCAGCCTTCCCCCAGGGACACCCATGCGTACTGCAGCCAAACACCTCAGGTCTGCATCCCAGGGTGGAAACCCTTAAAGGAAAGAATAAAAGCAAATCAAAGCCCTGAAGCCTCAGCTGCAGAGTGCATTTCTCACGCTGGAGGGAACCCAGCGTGACAGACAGAGGAGGGCCCAGAGATAATGCCAGACCGATCACTCTTTGAATACAGCTAGAAGGAGCCCTCGTGGGCGGATTCTTAAAACATACTCCGTTTTTGAAAGAAATACTTCAACACCCCAACACATACACACACACACACACACACACACACACACACACACATACACACACACCCTCACACTACAAGCTTATGATTGTTGCCTCCTTTCTTTAGAAAACGCCCTCTTCCTACAGTGTCAGGGTTGTTCCCCCTACTTGACTCTTGGGCCAACTAATTCCCGCAGCAGTAAGGTCTCCTGCTCTTGGTGACTGCAAGCTCTTTGATGACAGCAGCGTAGTTCCCACCCCATATTCATCCCAGCATATCCACAGATGTCCCCTCCTGACCTGGAACTGGGGCGGGCTGACAATAAGGCGCACACGCAGGGTCAAGAGCCACGAGAGCCTGTCATCGGCACTACCGCTTGGCACAAAGGAGATGGGGTACAGTCATCAGCTTGGGAACAGCTCAACTGCAAAAACTTTTCAAGCTATTGAGACAATAGAACGGAGCTCACTGGGTACGAGAGGGTACCACAGGACCACGGTAGGCATGTACGCTCTGCGGAGTCACTGTTGCAGCCCCGCACTAGAATAATGAGCATGCGTGCTTCTGCCAGGAACGGTTTTTCAAAAGAAACAAACTCCACAGGTCCGCAGCCTTGGGCCCACCTGTCCGAGCCGCTGACTTTCACAGTGGGAGGAGCCACCAAGCATCACCAGGCCTGGGCCCAGTGGAGCCCCCGATATGGGCCAACTCGGGCTCCGCAGCAGCGCTGCCCCGGAAGGAGCTCTCATCTCCAAGACTCGAGGGAAAAGTGCCAGGAGTCAGCAGTGCCACGCAAGGGCACAGGACGAGGACAGGCCCCCGGCCTCATTCAGATCGAGGTCTGGGGAGCTCGGCACCCGCAGTCACGGCATTGCTCCTTACACAGCACTGCTGGCTACGGCTCGTGACCACTCAGCTGGGAATCTTGCCCTCCGTCACTCGTGGCCTGCTGCAGCCAGGCCAGTGGTGGCAGCTCACCCACCTCGGGACACCTCACCCGTCCCGTCCAGGCTCTGCGGCCACACCGTCCTCGGGCCCGGCGCCTGCCCATCTCCGACGGGCTGGTGCTGATCTGTCCCTGCCCTGCTTCATGCGGCGTGGCAGACCATGCTCTGGACAGTGTGTGGACATAACAGAGGCCTTCTCTGAGCTCGGGGCTGGGCTCCCGGAGTCTGCATCCTGCTATTGTCACACTCGCAGTTCAGATGCCGTGTGGAGCTCAGATGCCGCCTCAAGCTCATTGAATGGAGGCCTCTAAATTCTTTCTGGTTCTCAGCGACATCTGGTTCAATTTAAATTGCACTTTGCTCACCGCCATTTCAGGCCAGTGACTACTCCAGCCGTGGAGACCCCACCGGGAGGTAGAGCTCCCCCGGGCCCCACAGGGCTCTCCGCAGTCCTTCACACACAGAGAAGTAAAACAGTGTCACTGCACGGAGACTGAGCACGAGGGCACGGTGGTCAGACCCTGTCCTCCCTCTCAGACTGAAGACACACATGATACCTGCAGACCAGCCAAAAGCCACTGGGAAGCAAGAAGAGCCAGAGTCGAAAGCAGAGAGGGTTCCTCTGGCCAGTGGGGGAGGTATGGAGAAGACTGCAGAAGAAAGACAGGAGGGTACACGAGGGGCAGGCGGGCTACACTTCTCCATCAGAGTGCAGAGGAAAGCTCAGTGGGGAACCACAAACCCCAGCAGGCTACGTGGCCAGGTTTTGTGGACAAGAGTTCACGCACACTGTTAGTGAGCAAGCAAGTCTGGGAACATGGAGATGCCCAGCTGGAGGACGGCTTTGCAGGTCAGGATCAGTCCTCGGAGCAACGTACACCAAGGAACACAGGGACAGCAAAACCCACAGAGAGGCAGAAGAAAAGGGAAGGGGGAAACCCAGGCTGCAGGGGAGAAGAAAGCAGTTATGGTGGTACAGGTGGCTCGGTGTGGGCCACAGGCTCAGCATGCACAGGGCCCTGGGCTCGGCCCACGTTCCAAGTCACAAAACACTGTACTTGGTGGCCAACTGGGGTAGAGAAGGAAGCAAAGGGCGAGGAGGGGATAAGACAAACACCATCTCCAAGGGAGACACGGCACTCTCCCTGGACTCGGGAGGCTGGCGGGGAGCAGCCTCTCCTCTCCGAGCTCCAGGCTCTGGGGTGCAGGCGCACAGCCCACACTGGTGGGAAGTCATCTACGCTGTCTGTCCCAGCTCTCCCCTCTGGCTGGCTGCACCATGGGCGGCCCCTACAGTGGCCTCGGAAGCACTCTCCTGGGTGGGGCCCACCTCCAAGCAGCTACCCAGAAAGCTGGACATCGTGGGTTAAGGGTCCGGCGGGCACAGGTGGCTCCGCGAGTCACGGCAGCTAGGCTACCTCCCAAGTTCAGCTCCCTTGCCTCTGCCTTCCAGCGCCACTGGTTGGTGCCCACGAAAAAGCAAAGGCCATTTGGAGGCCAGGACAGCTCTTCCTCGCGTGCGGTAGGACAGCATCCCCACTGCTCACGGTCCTGGGGAAGGTGCAACCTGAGGCTTGTCCGGACATGGCCCACCCCCACCACACTGAGGTGTCAGGAGTATGGACAGCGGGCGCAAGCCAGCCTCTCCTGGGAAGCACAGGGCACTGCCACCTGCAGGCGTGGACACGCCCTGCTGCGTCTCAGCTCCATCCCCACCTGCCTCTGAGCTGAGCTTCCCTCGCAAAAGTGGCCCAAAATATTGTCCGTGGTGCCAGCTGGGAAAAGCTTCCCAATGCCTCGCCAGGAAGCCAGGGCACCTGCCCTGCCACCCCAGGAGGGAACCTGGCTCCTGAGTAGGGCGGGGCCAGCCGCCTGGGACACTGCTCCAGGTGAAGGCATGTGTGGCACTTCCTGAGGCCTCTGCCAAGCTCTGCGTGCGCTGGACAGAGAATCCCTCTCCTGTGGATGGAGCATGCGAATAATCCGGCTGCACCGAGCAGCTTCTGAGCCCACCGTAGGAAGCTATCAGGAAGGCAGCTACAGACCACCCCCTTCCTTATGCTGGCTGGTGTGTGTGTGCGTGTGTGTGGGTGCAGAGCTTCCACTTGCAGCAGTTCTTAACCTTGGGGGAGGGGTGTCAGAGACTAACATTCCATGAATCGCTGTCACAGGATACAACACCCGGGCCAGGCTGCCTGCCCAGCACCCGTGGGGCTTACCGTCCCCAAGGGCAGAACCGGCAAACCTGCCCGCAAAGGCCAAGAGGAGACGCATGCCACCATGAGGGCCGTCGGCCGTCCCTGTCACCGTGGCCTCTCGGTGGGGCAGCCGGGGTCCCAAGCCGGCTGCAGGCGCTACGTGGTCAGCACAGCTGCGGGCCAGCAAGCCTGTACTTATGGGTACTGGCATTTGAATCGCTTACTATTTTCATGTGTCACAATAGTTCTTCTCTCATCTTTTTTTTTTTTTTCTTTTTTTAACCATTTAAAAAATAACCACGCACTGTGACAGTGATGGAGACTGGACATGGTGGCAGATCACTATGAGTCCAATCTAGTAGGGAGACCCTGAACACCCTGTAGACCCTTCCCTAAAAATACACTAATAATAAAATAATAATAATAATAAATAAATAAAAATAAAAAATAACCATGCCAGTTGCAGCCAGGTGACAAAGGCCAAAGTGCCAAGCCTGACTGCAGGGCTGTCATCCCCTGGGAGAAGACAACACTGCCCCCAGGCTCATGGGCTTCTAAGGAGACCTGGCACCCGCTTCTGTGGCAAGTGCCCACAACAAGCCATGTCATGCCCGCAGTCCCAGGACCACTGCTGCCCGGCAGAAGTCACAGGCTGGCTCGGGCCCCACTATAGTGTGGCAGACAGCTCAAAATATCAATTCTGCACACCACTGTTCTTACAATACAGCCATCGACGCAGCCACGTCAGGCCACTGCTTCTTATTCAAAGGCATGGCTAGAGAGGCCTATCTACCGCTACGCGACAAGGTGGTTGCTATTCCTCCCGTAAGTGTGCTTCACTACACCGATTCCCCGTCTAGCCACCCTCCCTACTTTACTGCAGACTTAGAAACACTGCTCTTGGAAGTGTGCGGCGCTTCCAGGATTTACTAAGGGGTTGAGGGCAGCGAGGGGGAGACCTTGGCCTCAGGCACAGCGGCTAAGGCCCACAGCCGCACTCCCCTTACCAGTGCGTTCACATCTTCCGTTTTGTGGATAAGCACCCGGATCTCCTCGGGATCGCCACTAAAGATGGCCTGGACCAGTGGTGGCTGCAAACACAAAGAAGGGACATTGAGCATGGTAGTAACGCGTGTGACTGCATCCATAGGCTGACAGCGAGGCTGTGCGGTGGCAGACTGGCCCACATGTGGTACCCACGGGGGAGATGCACACAGGGAGACAACCAGCCAGTGAGGCGATAGCCACTCGAACATGGGCTGCTCAACACTGTCCATGGCCAGCCCTCTAATCCCCATCACTGAAATGAGCAAATGTCCTTTGTACAGCTACCCCATTATGGCTGGATTCGTGCCCCCAAATTAATAGCTAAATCATGTCCCTAAAGTGATCCTATTTGAGACAGCCTTTGAGGACATAGACAAAGTCAAGTGAGGTCAAAGGTGCAGCCCCAGTCTGGGAACCCAGTGCCCTAGAAGCACTCACTCTCAGGGGGCACGGAGAGGACCTGTCCTGGTGGACTCAGAGGAGGTGGCCCACCACAAGCCAGGCCCCGGGCTTCACCCAAGACCAGCCCGATGGTGCTCTGGGAAAATAAATGTCTGTCACTCATACCAACAGACTCTGGTCTTTTGTCAGGGCAGATTGAAGAGTCAAAGGTCCCATCCTTCCCAACCCTGACCCAGGGCTGGAACCTGGACCCAGACCTCACCCTTGTTTGGCAAGCACTCTCCCACCAAGCTAGAGTTTGGGTCTTTTTCTAAAAGTTCCTTTTGAGACAGGATCTTGCTACGTCACCCAGACTGGCCTTGGATCTCTGACCCCCCCAGCCTCAGCATCCGAGTAGCTGGGATCACAAGTGCGCACTGCCGCACCTGTTTCTTAGTGGCCTTAAAGAGCTCCATCGCCAGCGGGTATTAATGGCCATGCTTGGCCCCCAGGTGACTCTTTGGCCGTGTTTTGGAAAGCCTTGAAATCTTTCCAAAATGCTTCCCCCAGCTTTCACCAACCTGCGCTGCTCCAAATGTGATTACGTCGGCTGCTGGTCTCGTTCACATGGGAAGATGTGGGCTCAGGAGTAAACGGACTGTGAGCGCTCACTGAACCCAAGATAGCAAAGGAGACTCTAGGGCACGATAGTAGGAACAGCAAGTCAGGGGGCCTCAGTAGCAGGAGCCGGCCCAGCAGGCTGGAAGGTGGGCAGAGATGTATCCGGGACAGTGCAAGGAAGAAGTGGTGACCAAATGCCTTCGCAGGTTGGAAAGGAAAGGCGTTCAGACACAGGAAGCGGAGGTGTGGGTGTGCAGAGAGGGGCTGGCATCAGCCCGGTGACGAGTATGGAGCAAAAGTAGAAAAGAGGAGGTGGGAGTGGTGCCGGGCTCACCCACCTCAGCAAGGCGCCCCTTTCCGGCCAGCACCCCCGCTGCCCAAGGCACTGGGCCCATTCCCCACAGCAATCCCGTAAGTGCCCGTAGTGGGAATGTTATTGGGATCAAGTGAGCTAATACGTGGGAAAACTTTCCGCAAGCAGCAACTGTCCACAGTTCATGAGCATTTGTATGAAGGAATGTTCAGCCCCCAATATGGGCTATCTGACTATTTTCCCCCAAGCTTCAAAATCAAATTGCACACACACTTACACATACATGAATGCACTGGCAGCTTTTGGAAACATGTTAGTCTAGTAGGCCCATTTGTCTCATCGTAAGTCACCCAGAATGCCCAGGGCTCAGGGTCTGGATCTTCGACTGGCCACCACCTACTTCTGTCAGGGGCAAGGCGCAGGCCCGGCCCAGGGTGGGTCATCACACCAGCAGGCAACCTCATCCCACTTGCTGGGTCCTTGTCCCCCTTATATCCCCCTTATAAACCATCTCCTGACCCCTCCACCCTCCCAGGGCCTCTCTCCTTTGAAGGGGCTCATTCCTCGTGTGGGGAGCACTCAGACACTGCAAGCGTCCCTGCAGAAATCTCGAGTGTCTGTTCCCACCTTCCAGGACTTTGTCTGTGGCCTTCCCTTCACAGAAGCTTCCAGTCAGTGGCTAGATGGACTCTCTGCTTTGTTCCCAAGATGCTCTGCTCCCTCCACTTTGCCAGTGCAGGGACCCTTTCTCCAACCGCAACACAAAGCGAAAGAGATATCCTGGAAAGAACCCAAGGTTTCTCCTAGCCAAGTCTTACTTGATGGCCCTGCCCAGAGATGAGGAGACCTAACGCCTCTGCACTGCTGGTGGAACTCGGTACTCAGAGTCCTGAGCACACTAAAACTAGGAATTCCATTGGACCCAGCTGCCTCCCTTCTAGGGCTCTTCCTGAAAGAGTGAAAGGCATCTTACTACAGCGACCCATATGCACGCATGCTTGTAGCAGGCCTACTCATAATACCTAAATCTTGGAGGCAGCCTCTCAGCCCACCAGCAGATGGATACATGAGCAAAGTTTGGCATTTACCCACCAAGGAGCACCACTGTGCTGTAAAGAAGGCTCTAGGAAGATCTGAACAGGCTTATGGATGCACAGTCTACACAAGGAGTGTGATCCTCATGTACCGAAAACGAGCTAACAGATAAAAATTGAAAAAAAGAACAAAGACAAGGAGATGCTTCTGTGTCCTGCGATGACCCCCAGCAGAGTCCTGCTTGTGCTCCTAATTCTTGGCCAGCATGCATGTGCGTGTACTCTTGACCTTTGAACCTAAAGAGAAAAGCAACAAACACCAACAGTGTTTGGGTGACCCCTAGACAGGGCCCGGCAGGGTTTCGCGCTCAGCTGGTGGCTGAACAGGGAGCCGCTGAGGCACACACCCACCCTGCCCTGGGCATCATCACAGCCAGGGGGCACAGGGGCTGCACGTGAGGAACGCAGATGCCACCTGTCGAGCCTGTTGGGTCCCCAGGCCTGACCCAAAAAGCTGGATGCTCCCAGGGGATCGCACAGAGTGGAACCAGCCCCCCGGACAGGGAGGGAGTCCAGTGGGTGCTCCTGGCCACCCGTGCCCTGTCCTGCCAGAGGCACAGCGTTCCCAGCACCCACTGGTGGGAATCAGACCTGCTACACAGCTCCTGCTGTGCCCACGCCGTGCACACGCTGGACACCACAGACCCACGCTTGGGCAGGCGCACACAGCGCCGTGCAGTGTCATATGCAGACCCCACTTCCCACAGGAGGGGTGGCTCCAGGCCAGTGGGCCCTGTGGCCACCACATGGTGGTCTCCACCACGGTGTGCCGTGGCACTGTGCGCCACACAATTTCACAGCTGCACACTCTGGAGGATGAAGGTGTGTGGTGCCTCGATTCAATTCTTCAACCAAGTTACCATGATTTTTGAGCAAGTAGCTTATTTTTGTTGATATTCTAGGTGTTTCTTTTTTCTTTTTCTCTACACTCCCCAATAAACATACCACAGGGCACTTTGACAGTCCCCTGACATTGGGATTTGAATCCTGCTGCTTTACTTTCTCCCCAGGAAAGCACTTAACCTGAAAATAACTATGTGGGAAGAGATGCCCCGCAGTGCTCTGGCACCTCGCTCCTCGGCCTTTGGGGAGATCAGTGCAGCTGCTGACGTGAGCTTGTGAACGATCTGGAGAAGGGGGCATCTGCTTATGACAGTCTCGCTCTCGGGTCCCAAGGACCACGAATTTGGCAACCACTGGTGGCTTTGCCTTGACCTTGATGAGGCTTGGAAGCAGAGCCTCCCCCAAGAGTCCTGTGGCTCGGGGTGCCAGGTCCTGGGTCAGGTGTCAGTGAGTGCCACTCAGCTACAGCCCAAAGGGCCAGAGGTTTAGCTCCGCGGCACAGCGCCTGGCCTGCCTGGCAAGCGTGAGGTCCTGTGAATTGTACGAGCGCCACAGAGCCCTGGGCTGTCCCCCTCCACCCAGCAGGGATGTGAACGGTCCTTCTGTCTGGTGTACCACAGTGTCTACACTACCTGCCCAAAAGTCATGGAGTGCTCTCTCAGCATCAGGTCGACTGTCCTAATGGCGTGTATTATAATTATCGTATCTTCTCATCAGCCCTTGCTAATCTCTCGTGGCACCTAACTTATGGGCTAAAGGTCATGGTATGTTTGTGTGTGCAGGAGAGAACAGGATGCCAACGCACGGGCCGTGGTGCTCATGTGACTGTGGGCATCTGCCCCTCCTCACACTTTAGCATGAGCCCATTCAATATGGGACGCCTCTCATGGCACAAACCACAAAGCTCAGGAAGAAAAATCACAACTCGGCTCAAAACTAGGAGAAAGGTAGCAGCCCTGCCAGCTGCAGGTGCTCAGGGCCTGGGAGCATTGCCAGCCAGGGACTTCTGCACACTCAGCAGCTCGGGAGCAGCGGACGTCGGCACAGGCTCCGGACGGTATAGAGGGCAGCTGGGGATGCCTGCTCCGAATACTTGTGGTGCACACGGGATTCCCTCAGCGGGCCTTGCCCTGCCTGGCCCTTCGCCAACGCCAGCCCCTCACAGCCTTCCCAAGGTATAGAAAGCCATCCTGTGTCACTAGGCTTGGCCACACGTGGCCACCAGGAAGGTGCCTGGAATTAGACCCTCAGTAAGTCCCACAGCTGATTCGCCAGCCCTGCAGATGAAATCTGAGCCACAGAAAGCCACTGGCTACCCATAACCCTCCCCGCGCAACAGTTCTCTTTTTTATTTTCCCTCCCCAAACAAACCAGAAAAATGCTTGATTTCCAAAGCAGAGACATTAAGTCACATACACAGATGTGAGCCATAACTTCACGCTTTGACTTCGATGCAGACGTTGAGCTCCACTAGGGGGTGCAAGAGGGTAACTGTTACCTGGGAGAAGGACTCAGGCTGGGTGCCTAAATAAGGATTTTCATCTCATCAAGACAAACCCTGAAGTTCCCAGGACAGTCCCTAATAAAAATAAAATACACCATGTCCATGCCTAAAAAATAAAAATGAAAAATGACATTCCTAGGGCCCTGAGAGCCCAGGGGTTTAGGAAAGCTAATTAAACCCCAAGTGATGAAGTATCACTTTTCATCATTTATGAAACATGATCCATTATTCCCTCAATTCCACTAAAAATACTCTACTGGAGGTGTCAGACAGGCTACCAATTTAAAA